CACTGTAGTTATACAAAGAAAGACTATCCAATAGACATTCAGACTACCCAATAGACATTTAGACTACCATGCGGTCACTTAGTAGTTCTGCTGCTATCAACGTTGGATTGGCGCTCAATCTGATTGAAATGGCCATATCAAGAAAGACCATCTCATGTCTATGTCCAATACGAAGTGGCAGGAATCCAAATTTAAAAACATGTGGGTTCTCAGGGATAGAGAGGATTACAAATCCACAGGGACTATCCCCATTTCCTTGTAGCACAGACGTCTAAAATTCAGCTTTAACTAGGATAAAATGCTGTGTGGGACATTATCTGTTCCCTCCACAACATCTTAATTAAAGGAGGCCAGGGCTTTGTTGCTGTGGCTGGTGAGAAGGAGTGAAATAAAGTATTGGCCAGCACTTAAATTATGCCAATCTATCAGAGTATGCTGTGGAATGGCAGTCTGGGTCCAAAAACCTGCCACAGAAGGGGGGGAAGGGCAGTGTAGACAAATACTGTGGATGCCACTTATTTTGGCATGCGGGGGGCATCAAAGTCATAGGCCACAATGAACACTTGACACAGGTTCTGTCCCTTCTTCTCTTTATCCAAAACCCCCAAAAACATTTTGGCTGGAGTTACAATTACAATTACAAATACCTATTGTAAACAATCCATAATAGAAGTCACCAGCACTTGATGTGTGCAAGAAGTAAAGCACTTTTTATTAAATAGTCACATGCATCATACAGCCAATGTTTCGGGGCCGCTTGACGTGACACTAACGTGATGTGACACAATGTCGCCCAGAAGAAGGGACCCTGCGTGGCCCTGAAATATTGGCTGTATGACGCATGTGACAATTTAATAAAAAGTGCTTTACTTCTTGCACACATCGAGTGCTGGTGACTTCTATTATGGATTGTATAAAATACGACACTTTCTCATGCGCAGCATTATTAAGTTCTTATCCTTTGTATAGAGGCATACATTATGTGCATGCACTACACATCTCTATGTATAGAATAAGAAAAGGCTGTATTCATTTTATTTTTATCTGATTTACACACAAATACTTTCCATGTACATCATACACCCGCTTCACAATAATAAGGGAAGATTGAAATAAATTCCAGGCAAAGGAAGCAACCTGTAATAAAGAGGTGGCAGTTTCACCCTGGGGAGACCACTTGCGTTGACATGGGACCTGCCATCTCACTTGAAACTGCTCACAATTCATCTGCCGTGCTGCCTTTTCCTCATTCTCTACTTACACATGAAAAGAACAGATAAAGAATACATATCAAGAATAAATAGCAAGATATCAAAGCAAGAACAGACATTTAGTTTCAATACCCTTTAATGTACACATACGTATAGGCAAAAACATTTTTTTAATTGCTTAAGTAGGGAATGGTTAAAAACCCATACAGTTTATTTGTTTGCTGTCTATGTCCTGTTAGGGATGTCTCCCTTTCTTTCCTGTCCCAAAGGGGAAACAAGGCTTACTTTGAAATTGTTTCCAAAACAAGTTGAATTCCCCTGTCACCGGATCAGGTGTCCTCATTGGAAGATTTACCTTCCCATTTTGTTTTGGTGATAACTATAAAACGTTGGACCTCCCATCACTTTCTATTTTGGTAACAATTGTCACCAGGACATATGAAAAGATTATTGGCTGTCCAGCATCAGGGTCCTCTCAGGATCCAGTAGAAAAGCATTGTCACAGGAGTGGGGATAGTATTGGGCGCATCTGAAACTAGATTAGCGATCTTCCACACCAAGAAACCCCAGCAGTGAGGGACCAGAATGGGGGACTTAGTGAGTATAACTTGCCCTTAAGAGGTAAAAAAAATTTATGGTATGAATTAGAGGGAGGAGGGAGAGAGGGGTGGGAAGACAAAATAATCTCTGAATGGGGAAAAAACTGTTTAACTATACAAATGTTTCTAACAAAACTGTGTGAGTCAGATTAAATATAAAGGATGCAAAAGATGCACAATTATTTCATTCAGAATAAACAATATATTATGTATTGTGGTACCAGTGGGCAATATAGTATAACATATCAGCTTCCTCTGGCTTTATAATGAAACAGAGAAGAAAAGATGCCAGGAGCTCTGTGGAAATAGTAAGCCTAATTAGGGAGACAATGTCATCATCCTTTAAGAGGCAGGTGTACAGAGCATTGAATTAGAGACCTTACAAGAGCAAGCAGCAAGGTATGAGTACGGCTAGGCTCCTTTACAAGGATTTATTGTTTTCTCTGGGTTAAGATCACATGGAATATAGAGTTTAAGTTCAGCTAACAGGTAAGATCTCTTCTTCTTACAGAATCAGTATACGTAAGGTATTTGTTTCATTTCATGACATGCCTTTATAGGATGCGAGTGCCAATCTGTGCAGGGAAATGTGAAACACTTCCCTGCAATCAAATAAGACACAATCATAATACCAAGGTATATGTCATGTATACCTTATTTTCCGTATAGCATTGTGTGGTACATGTCATCTTGAGCTTTTTATTGAGCATATTGCTGATCTATTTATATAGAGTGCTTTTTAAATCATTTTGTTTGTAACAATTTTGCAGCAGTTGTACCCAATGTGACCATCATGTGACACATGGGCAGAGTATGCTAGGTTGATGTTGCAATGGCTGTGATAGGTAAAATGGAGCTCCAGCTACACTGTAATTGTTTTTTAACAGAGTGGTAAAGGGTTGGATTCCTCATAGGAGTTATTGATGTCAGCATCTTTGCTGGGGAGATTTTGCCTTGCTATCCTGGTGAAGTGACAGGAAGGCAGAGTAAATCTCCCCAGAGTGAGGGGAAATACCATATTTTACAGTGTTCACTGGAAAAGGTGTTTGCATTAAAAATGTCCCCTCACCGACTGTAACACATGGACAGCTGTAGGATTTGCCCTTACTTTCTTCCCTGTGACAGTGATAGTTGGGAAATTTTGCAGCAGTAGAATGCTGACAGAAGTTTTAACCCTTCCCCATTTATTAAAAAAAAAAACATGTTTACATTGGAATTCTGGAATTCCACTTTACCTACCTAAACCAGATAACAACGAATATCTACTTATTATGAACATTTTGCTGTTTTTATACTTTTACTGTATTCATTCCATGTGCTTGGCATATAGTGCATAGCTACAATATAGAGCAGCGTTTTCTAACCTTTCTTCAGTCACAGGACCCTTTAAAAGTATGTAAAATCTCAAGGCACCCCAGTCTAAAATGTAATGGATTTAAAGGGGGGAGCCCATGCAAAAACACAAAAAAGTAGGGTTCACATCGAAGTCCCCCCTTCAAATCAGGAGCCCTCCTTCACATAAGTGCCCTCCCTTTCACACAAAATCCCCCTTTTACATCAGAGTCTTCCTTTATATCAGTAGCCCATTGCACATCAGGAGCCCCCTCCTTTCACATCAGAGTCCCCACTCTGAAAAAGCCACTGTTCATATCAGAAACCCCCAATCAAATCAGAACCCCATCCTTTCACATCAGGGTCCCCCCATTGACATCAGAAGCCCCCTTAAAATCAGTAGCCCTCTTTCACATTAGTGCCCCCCTTTCTCATCAGAACCCCCCTTTTACATCAGAGTCCCCTTTTACATCAAGAGCTCCATTCACATTAGGAGCCCCCCCCCCCTTTCACATTAGAGTTCCTTCTCTTGCACTTGAAGCCCCAATTCACATCAGAGTTCCCCCATCACATCAGAGTCCCACTCTTTTACATCAGAAGCCCCCCCCCCCCTTTACATCAGGAGCCCCTCTTTCACATAAAATTCTCCCTTTAACATCAGAGTCCCCCCTTCACATCAGACCCACCTTTCACATCACAGTCCTCAGTTCCCCATCATATGAGAGTCCTACAATCACAACAGGAGTCACAACTTCGTTAGTATGGCATGGAGTGGGGGCAGAGCAGGCCTAGATGGACGCAAACTTGTATCCTTTTCTAAATGGATCCCACCCTCACTGGATTAGCGGAATTTATTTCCATGGTGTTGGCGGCCTGCATCATTAAAAGACATGATGCAAAAATTTCAAGGCACCCCCGAGAAAGCCAAAAGAGACGTCTGTGACTTCATATTGAGGTATATATGTAAGTGCATAACGATATTTACAGTATACAGGACATCTGTACAAGTGTCTTTTTGCTTGTTATAGGGTGTTTAACATTATGTTTATATATTGTATATCTTTAGCCTCCATATACCCCTAAAGAAGTGGACCCTTGGTCCATGAAACTTGTTGAGAAGTCATTCTAGTTCCATCATTTATTGATGCTGAGAATCTTTTGTTGCATGGAGTATATTGACATTTATATTATGCATAAATGATGGGGTTTACGTGGAGGCAATTCAAAACAAAGTACCTGTAACATGCACCAGCCCATTTTTTAATATGGTTTTAATAAGTTGTTAAAAAATATTAATTTTAATAATGATATTTGGGAGGCTTTAATTCTTGTACACAAAGTCCCATATATCAGTCTCCTGTATTTTTTTCTGTATGTAGTACAGTCATTTTACATTGGTCCATCATATTATTTGTGCTGCCATATACAATATGAAAGTGTTGCTGTTCCCTCGATATATATTTTTAATTTTTTAACATTGTTTACAATGAAACCAGGGGATAAGTGAGAACATATACAGTATGTAGTACTTAGAGAAATGGTACTACTTCAGTGAACATGGTTACTTGACTTTCCACTGTAGTTGATTTTCTGAATACTAGGGTAGACATACTGTATATTAAATAGAAAAATGATTTCTAAAAGGGTAGATTGTTTGTTGGCAATGATATTGTAAGGCTCGATGGGAAGAAAAGATTGCTCATAACTGCAGTGGTGACTGATCGTGCATGAAATATGTAAATAAATATAGAATCAATATAGCTGTTTTGAGGATAGGAAATGGAAACACAAATGATACTCAGTATAGTTGTGTCTAAAGAACCAAACGTTTCATCAAGGGATTTGTTTTGTTTTTCAGATGTTGAAAATGGATGTAAACAAGCTGAACACAACATTGCTGCGGAAGTTCCGTCAGGGAGTTGCTGCGGCTTTAGGTTTGATGCCACAGCAAGTACACATCAATCGGCTCAATGTAAGTGGACGGACTGCTGTAGTAGTATGTGTATTAGTTGTTAGCTTTTTGTACAGAATAAATGTGTTTTACATAATGCACATCCTTCTTATTCAACCAATTGTAATTCATCTGGATTTGTTCTGTATGAGATTTAAGGGCTCGTTCACACTAGCTAATGCTAAAATGCCAAGTTTTAGTATGCAGGCTAGTAAGCTGAGTGAGGTCATTTGAGGGGGTTGCGGTGTGTTACCCTGTTTCATTGCATTGCACATTTTACTTTTTTGACTATTTTTGAAGTGTACAAAGTGTACACTCCATTCAGGTCTCTGTTCAACAGCACAGTGTGTGGTGGTGTGATGGCCTTGGTTGCCATCCAGTGTGCTATGCATTATGCTCACATTTTTTTGCACCGCACAACACATCACACCCATGTTGTTGTGTGAATGGGCACATAAAAGAAAATTGCTTTCCATGTACCCTATCAGTGACTGTCAATCTGTCTCTGAAAAACTTGCCTTCATTGGTGTGAACAAGCCCTAATTGCTTTTTCAGTGATGTATGACCCTTACTGATATCCCTTTATTCTTTATTGGTTTAATGCAGGGATGTAGGAAGGTTAAGGCACTCGCCTCAGGCGCAGCTGAGAGGGGGCCAGGCGGCCAACACAGCTCGGTCACGGAGCAGCAGGGAGTAGAGGGGCAGCAAAGCCTGCAGCTTCTCCTCGGATCCCTGCTGCAGCCCGACTGGTGAAGAGAGAGCCGCTTGACCAGGATCTGACAGCCGGCGACTCTCTCTCCCCTCCTTGGTCAGCCATCCTGGATGACAGCTCCCCCCCCCTCCTATGGCATCAGTGCTCCATCTCCTGTGCAGCTCTGTGCATGGCTGAGTGGCTTAGGATGGAGAGCAGAGGATCAGTAAATATTTGATGCTTTACATCACATCCTGTTCATTCAGGATTTTCTGAATGGGCAGTAGCACTCATTATGGAGGCTGCTACCCATTCATAAGTGGATGATAGTAAATATTTTACTATCACCAGTTTTTAAATGAATGAATGGGAAGCTTCTGTACAGAGGCTGCAGAAAAAGTGATTGAGGACTCTGTGTCATCAGTTTATTTTTCTGTTTTGAAAGGAAATGTCAAGGATCTGTTTGGGCCCCTGATATTTCCCCGAAGCCACCGCAACAGTAAAAAAAATAAAAAACATAATTTAAAAAATACAGTAAACTCTCAGTTATCCGGGATTCGACTAACCAGAACTCTCATCTAACCAGAAAAAAAATCATTTTTTTGCTGATCTGTGGCATGTATTATCCTGGAAATGATTGTGTGTCTATTTGTCTTAAGTGTGTCTATTTGTCTCAATTAATTGATTTGCTTATGATTACTACATTTCAATATTAATATGGAGTAAAAAGCAAATAGCTAGTCTAGTTCCTGGCCGCTATTTAACCCGTAAGTGGGTATAAGCCCTGTTTGACCTTATTATATGTGTTAAGTCCACCTCCAAAGGTGGCAGTCTTTTTACTTAGGGTGGAGTATAGTTTAAACACTGAGGGTTGTATTTATAAAAATTTGCAGAGCCATTCATCCTGTGAAATTCCCGTTTGTTCTTTCTTGTATTGAGAGAGGTCTAGACTCCAGATAGAGACATATTCCTGCCCCTGTACAAAGCATTAGTAAGACCTCATCTGGAATGTGCAGTTCAGTTTTGGGCACCAGTTCACAAAAAGGATGTTGTGAAACTGGAGAAAGTGTAGAGAAAGGCAACTAAACTCATAAGAGGCATGGAGGAGCTCAGCTATGAAGAAAGATTAGCTGACCTGGATTTGTTCTCTCTGGAGAAGAGGTGATTAAGGGGGGACATGGTCACCATGTATAAATACATAAATGGTCCATATAGTGAGCTTGGTGCCAAATTATTCACTTTAAGGTCACTGCAAAGGACAAGGGGGCATTCTTTGTGTCTGGAGGAAAAGAGGTTTAACCTTTGCATACGGAAAGGATTCTTCACAGTTAGAGCTGTGAAAATGTAGAATAGACTCCCCCAGGAGCTAGTTCTAGTGAGCTCAGTTAACTGTTTTTAAAAAATCTGCAAATCCCCCCTCCCTGCATAATACCAGGCCACATGCCCTCGGCATTGAAAGGATGCTTTTCCTGGGATCCCCCATCCCATGCTTATGGGGACAAAGGCCTCTTCCCCACATCCCTGACCTGGAGGTTGTGGGGGGTCTGCGAGCAGGGGGGGATTATTTGCATCAGGGTACCTCCTTTCATAAAGGGGGCACCCAGATGTGCCTCCCCTTGTGAATTAGAAAGAGGTACTTGTACCCCTACTCATTCACTAAAGGGTTAAACAATGAAAAAACAATGGAAAAAAATGATACGATGAGATAATTTCAGGTCAATCACGTTGTCCACGCGATGAACTCCACCTGCAAAATTAAATTTTGACAGGTGCCAGCACCGCCCATTTGTTGTCATGCAGGCCAGTGCTCAGATTAAGGGTCTGGTTTGAAATTTTAGGGGGGACCTCATATTTTTTCTTCTGTTTTTTGGTGATGGGGTTCCCCTTAAAATTCCTACCAGACCGAGTGAATGACTTCCTTAGTTAGTGTGTACGGTATGAGATGTTGGTACATCCTTTGAAGGTTTTGTGCTAGGCAAACTGAGTTCAGTTATTGTTTTAAAAAGTATGTGCAATACTGCTGGCTGGCTTCTTGGTTAGTTAGAGGATACATTTTTGCACACAACTTTTTTTAATGTATGTTCTAACTTAGAGGAAATGCCATTTTTGACAGTTGTAACCAAAGCTGCTGTCCCTATTGAGTAATTTCTCCCAACCTCTCGTTCCACTGTTGTAAATGCTGTAACTGTGACAGGAAATAAAAGTGAATCATCTTACCGAAAAATAAACAGCCCGTAAAAGCCATTTTAGGTCTAACCTATACCCATTTAATCAAAAAGTATTTTTACAAAAAAGTTTGTATGTGTTTTCACATTAAGGTTTGTAAACAGATAACTGGTTCTCTTTTTAAAGGGCCTCATAGTGTTAATGAACTTGACCAGAATTATGAAAACACACTAATGTAACTGTCAATTCTTGAGAAATGTTTTGTAAGTGTAACCTCTGAACTTACAGTAACCAAGGGTAGTCAGTGTACTAATTCTTGCTGTCTTTGAAGTGTGAAGTAAGATAGGAAGTTCAGCTGTTTTTCTCTTTTACTCAGGGAAAGAAGAACTGCGTGGAGCTCTTTATTTCTCCACTTAACAAAAAGATAGGTGTCCCAGATGCTCTTCCTTCCGCAGAAGTTCTTCGGTCACTCAACTTGCATACCCTACACCAACGATTGTCCCATTTTGGAATAACCGAGGTCTCCCCAGAGGTAAGCCTATATTTTAGTAGTGGTCAATATTACACTATTAAATGTACAACCAATAGAAAAAAAAGTATATTCAAGCATTAAAGCTGTTTTTTTTTAATGCAGAATGACCTAGATAAAAGGTACTTTCTCCCCCCCTCCACCCCAAAACTGCCATGTGATTCTGTTAAAGGAAGGGGGAGGGTAAGTTCCACTTATGTGTGTAGGTCACGCGTAATCGGCAGGTGTATGGAAGGCGTGTGACCGTTTCTACTGTAGGTCGCACGTCTTTTGTCTCCCAAGCAGGCTTGAAATCGTACGATTTTCAGCGGGTTAGTGGCGTTCTCGGGAGACAAATTCCGCACTGGCCGGTGTGCGCAAGCGCACACTGCCCGCTCAGCATTGGAATCATCGGAAGCCCTTCCCTTAGCGGGGAGGGCTTGCGATCATCGCAAGTACTATCTGCCTGTCCAAGAAGGGCAGAACGTACAAGCTTTTAATTACCTTACAACCATCGCAGGATGAAAGTCGTGCGATGGTTGTAAGGTGTATGGGCACCTTAAGATTCACCTCTTTTACACAGAATCTACAGTATCTGTATTTCTAAATGACTGGTTCTAACCTGGCTTGGAGTATTGTTAAAGCCTATATGGGATATCTATATAATGATACAATGATGACAAAACAATGTGGCTGAGTTTGCTATTTGCATTATTATGCCTTTTCAAAGTTTTGATATGTTGAACTATACAGATTTGTTCAACTGAATCAAGATTTAAGAGAATCAAATGTTCCTTCCTTATACTTTCAGATGAATATGAAAGAAATGTTTTACACGCATCTAGATTCCTTTTACAACTTGAATTCCAGAGAGAGTGCAATATGCCTATTGCAGCACCATAGTGATAATGATGTAGAGATAAACAATGACATGCCTTCTGGGGATAGCACGTTGTAATTACCTCTTTACCCTGTGTGCAACATGTCTGCTTGGCAGGACTCCCTTTTCATTTCTAAGCTTGAGTAAAACTGGACCCCACGCAATATTTCAATAAGAATAACTGGTGCAGACATTCAAATATAACCCCTAAAAGTTATCAGAATCGTGTAACATTTTAATGTAGATCAAATTACTTTTTATTGTAAAGTAATAGTACACTTCTGGATTTTCTAAAAAAACTTTACTATTCTTGTTTAATAATATACTACAACACAAATGTATGTCCATTGTAGTGTATATTGTAGGCTGGGGAGTTGCCTTAATTAGGACTAATTTTTGGGCATGATGCAGAACTGTTAAAGACTTTTCAGTAAATGTAAAAATTTGCACAAATTAATTTCTGATATATGTGGAGATGTCACCAGCACACCGCAATCCTTTTAGGATAGCAAAATGTTTATTTATTTAAATTCCTTGTCATATAAACAAGCGCAGGGGCCTTAGCTAAGCCTGATGAAGGAACCTCGTGCGGCCCCGAAAGCGCTTGTTTATATGACAAGGTATTTCAATAATGAACATTTTGCCATCCTAAAAGGATTTCGGGGTGTGCTGGTGACATCTCTACATATTGCTGATATTTGCAGCGCCATCCGCAGTCACTGCGAGCACCCCCCCCCCCCCCCATTACAAGGGACATTCGGTAAGGAGTTCAACAAGGAAAATAATTTATTGTCTGAATTCCTGATATGCCACAATATACAGCGACCATATGCTTATTTAAAGCAGGCAGTTACAAAAATGAGCTCTTGCAGTGGGGCGACCCCCGCCCTGCAAGGGTTAAGTGCTCGTATTGGTCCAGGATCTAACATTGAAAAAAAAATACTCAACCGATCCATGATCCAGCCTGGTTGCTAGACCGGTCCCCACATCTTCTTCTCCAGTCTATTAGACATAAAGATGCAGAGCGACATACCATCGCTGGAATGGAAGGGTGAGAGGTGAGCAATCACCACCGCCTGACCGAGGATCAGATAAGTGTATCTTTTTTATTTTAGACCCTAGACCAAAACAAACACTTAACCCTTGCAGTGCGGACATAGCCTCCAATGCAGTTTAGTAGAATAAACAGAAGAATCTGACTGGTCAAAATGGGCTTTATTCACATACTTTTACAAACAAGAATTTCCCAGCACACTTACCAACTGGTCCGCAACAAAAAAAACAAAAAACTAATCACACTGTTTAACTATTAGATTTTAGTTGCACAACTTTAGCAAAATATGTGGATGCCACGCTGTCTCGTCAAGGCCCCTCGGTGTAGTGTGGTCCTAAATCTATAAAAGCCTACATCTTGGAGCATATATACCAAAGGATAAATTGGGTGCAGGTATGCCAGGAGATAGCCCATTCCTCCTTAAATCAGAGAGACACAGCAGAAGCCCAGAGCATCACAATAGCAGCTGAAACGCCCAGTGTGACCCCACACCAAAGCCAACAAGTGAAACAAATGTCAACTACTCTCATCAATTTATAACTAGCTTTTAAAGTAAGGTGCACATGGGAGGCAGTGGAGTATTTTGGTTTTGTGCTGCCCTAGGCAAGACTAAACTCGGGCACCCCCCCTCAATCTAAATTTGCCCCGCCCCTTCCTGTTTAGATCATTTTGTGCAACCTGTGAGTCACTGGATACAGCACACACGGAGTCTCAGGAGGGCTGTGCATGGTCTTTGGTGGGCTGTACGGGGTCTCAGCAGAGGTGTGCATGACGTCTGGTGGGCTATACGGGGTCTCAGGAGAGCTGTGCAGGGTTTATGGTGGGCTGTGTGAGGTCTATGGTGGGCTGTGCAGGGTCTCAGGAGGGCTGTGCATGATGTCTGGTGGGCTGTCTGAGGTCTCAGTAGAGCTGTGCAAGGTTTATGATGGGCTATGTGAGGTCTATGGTGGGCTGTGCAGGGTCTCAGGGGAGCTGTGCATGATGTCTGGTGGGCTGTACAGGGTCTCAGGAGGGCTGTGCATGATGTCTGGTGGGCTGTACAGGGTCTCAGGGGAGCTGTGGAAGGTTTATGGTGGGCTGTACTGGGATCTTTGGGGGGCTGTGTGGGGTCTATTGTGGGCTGTGCAGAGTCCCTTTCACTGCATACATGTGCTGCTCCTCTTACCTGCAGCCCGAAGTGCCATCAGTGCCAACAGGATACATTGCAGTCCCCAGCCTGCTTCTGTTAGTTACATCTCGCCATCTGATCACATGCTATGGCCAACCCCGAGCCACCCGCTGCTTCTCCTCCACCTCCTGTACAAAGCCAGCTGGACTGTATCTCACTGGGCCCCCCCCC